TATGTGTGTGTTTTAAATGTTCTGACAGTGTCATGTGACTTTACACTGGTCCTGTATGTTCATATCTCATCCATGTGTTTATATACATTGTGGTTTTTATTATTGTGGTAAGATGTTGTGTCTCCGGCTCTCAGATCTTATCTCATCTCCATGTTCAGTACTTTGAGCCTCAGCTGCTCCAACAACAGTGTTAAGTGCTGCTTGTTGTTGGAGCTGGTAATGATCTATAATAAATGTTGATTTGATTGTTGGGCCGTGCAGCAGCTCTGTGGTTACGAGGTGGGAAGTCATGTCCCAAAGGTGCTTGGTTTTCGTGGTTAAACCATAACACTGCTGCCAGGCAACGGAAACATGGACGATAATATCAGCGTTACTGTGGCTAAGCTAGCAGGTAACGTACGAATGAAATGTTTGAATAGCAACATTTTCCTCAGACAGAGAGAAAAACCCTTAAGACTAAAATTACACTAAAATGCCGTCCAATGAAAATGATCTTCAGTTGTAGTTACAGATATTGAACTCTGCGGAGGTTTAAGAGAATTCAGAGGTCATGAACACCACTAGAGGGCGTCGTTCGTACCTAAACACAACCAGATAGTTGACAGATGTGGGCCACACACACAATGATGTGGCACCTCTGTCCTTCTTGTGGCCCAGACAAAATGGCTGTGAGCCTAAAGTGGCCCAAGTATCCCAACAACTGTGGACAAACATGTGGAGCTCTCGACAAGGTTTAATCTGGATCTGAACCTAAAGTGATAAATGCTGAATATGGCCCAAATAGCACAAAACTAATTTGGGCCACCTTTGGCTGACATGTGGCATCGCTGTGGCTCGCTTGTTGCCCAGATGTGGCAAACAGGAACGGACCGCCATCATTCCACACAGTATGGGGGTGTGGGCCAAATCTGGGCCAAAGCAAATTTGCTGTAGTCGCTCAGTTGGATTGTCGCTGCCTCTGGTTTGTCTGTGTTTGGTCTCCTCCCCCTCCCGAGGGAAACGTCAGGCTCTTTAGCTGCTAAATGCTGCACCATGTTCACCTGCTGCTCTCTGGTTGTTTGTTGCAGGGAAACAACTGAGACCAGATCAACCAGACAGGTCCAGAATGAGCAGGTTAAAAAAGAGGCTGTGCTCATTTCTGTGGGTTCATGTGGGGCGGGAACATTTTCCATTGTGTCTTCACACTCAAAAATCTGGTGATTTTAGTGGACAAGCTGACGTTTCTCAGTGTTCTGCAGTTTGACAGTTTTCCATTGTGATTGTGTTGAAAGAAATCAAACCGTGGTTGAGATTGGTGCGGTGGGGACTCAGGCTCCTCTGTCTCATAAACAATAGATAACATGACGAGTCTTGAATGGGAGGCAGCAGCACTGAGGCGACAGATCTGCAGCACATCGTTTTCCATCTCAGTGCATTTCACTGACTGTTTGGAAAAGACTGATTCTCTGCTCACACTAATGGTCTCAAAATGAGTCCGTGGACAAACGTGCATACGTCAGCGTCGTCTCCACAGCTTGAATTATAATTTCAGAAGTATTCTTTCCTCTCCTGGTCACCAACAGAGTGGATGAGCCTCTACGGACACAGCCGTCCACGCTAGATTGAGCCCAGCAGGATCTTCAGCTCTGACTCATCTACTGACCCCACACAGCGACCTCCACCTGTCTGCAAGGTCACTCTCTGGCTTTTCTTTGGGTTCATTTGATTGGACAGGTGAAGCGTAATATAATGTCTGTTTGGCACGATGCGGCTCCGTCAGCTGCTTGTGCTGAATCACATTTGGCTGCGGCTCGTCCCCGAGCACAGTCGAGTGAAAACTTCTGAAATGTCACAAGCGAGGAGGAACAGATTTGTGCAGTTTTCAGCTCATCCAAAAAGTTGAAATAGAGCGAGAGGTCAGAGAAACACAATAAAAAACAAGTGTTAACTTCTTTAAATAAAAACCCACATGGTTGTTTTGTAAAATAGAAATAGATTTTATATATAACATTTAGTTTCACTGATAGATAACAGAGGCAGAGTCTATATGCTCCATTTAAATTCAACCACAAAACTCAAACTATACAACAAAATAATACAAAATTCAAAGACGCCAGCTCTCAGAATCTTCCAGCACGTGTTGAAGTGAGCTGGGGTCAGACTCGTTGATGTGTTGATGCAGTGGGAAGAGACTAAACATCAGAAAGCTGGTCTGAGGTCAGTGGTTCAGTATTTCACTATCGTAACATTCAGCGACATCAAGGTGAACAACGAGCACACACTCTTTTACACACATGATCTGTTGACTCTGCAGAGAAGTGTTTACTCTCACTCCCTAAATCCTCCGTGACGATATCACCACACTAAGGTGACGGTTCACCTGGATCTTAAAGGGATAGTTCACCCAAAAACGAAAATCCCCTCATTATCTACTCACCACTGTGATGGAGGTGGGG